TTTTTGAAAGTTGGTGATTAGAAAAATAGTTTTCTGCTTTTCATCTCAATACTTGCTGGCCACTGGCGATATAAAAATGAAGTGAATATCGATTACCCCGTCCGCTTAAGCGAAACGATCTGAAACCGCTTAAGCGAGACGATCTGCAATCGCTTCGATAAATCACGCTTAACTGGAATATGCCTAAGTTCGCTTTGATGTGCTCACCTGCAGTGCATAGAGCCCAGTATATTTAAAGACTTTGTACAGTTAAGTATTTTATATAAATAAGTTTCCTCCATCGCTGCATCACGAAGTATATTGAACATTTTAACATAATTCAACAAAATTTCTAACAGTAACGATATATCAACTATAATTGAATGCGAATCATTAATTTTAATCACCTAATACTAAAGATCGAACGACGACAAATGACATAAAATAAAAATTTTATTATCATGTATCAAGTTGCTTTGCGATGGGAAATGTATTGAGAATTAATAATTTTATGTTGTTTCTTAACATTCGCGCTGTAAAAATATCGTGGTAGCTTTGAAAAATGTTCGTAGAAAAGTTATTACTCTCATTTTGGCTAAAAGTTAAATAAAAAGAGCAATAGTGGCTACATCATGAACGCTTAACGCAACACCAGCCTCGGAAATAATGGTATGATGTAGCAGTTAACACTTTATATATCGCCGCTAAGTGTTTTGTGGTAAAAATATTGCTACTAAAAAATTTAATAGGCGTACATCAAAAGCCTGGATAGTGCTCTATTTTTACATTTTGATTGCTATATTAAATTATTGCTCGTTTACAATTGGGATGTGGTCTTTTGGTTTTTACATCCAATATTGGTTACAACTTTAATTGACCTGAATGCGTATTTCAAATATTTTTTATATAATTAAAAACTTAGTGTGAAAGCGTCACTCGTTATGCTATTTTTGCTCTTTGTAGGCAGATCACGGAGGCACGTCCCGAAGATTAAGCAATCACATCAATATTATGAATTTAAAGAACTCAAATCTATAAAAAAATTCAACAAATCCGTATAAAGAAATTTTGAAGAAACCATAACATGTCCGATAACCGATCGACGATTTTGTAATATTGGCTTGACTTGGCATCCTACGGACGTTTTACAGCCGCCGCCCCTGAATGCAAAGTAGGTGAAATATCAAAGTTAGAGGTAGCAAGAAAAACACATTTGTGTGCAAACTCTCGTATTTCGAAGCGGGATTTGACCGACGGTTTATGGTCGGGGTTTCAGGACGGTATTGAATCCTGTAAATTCATTAAGTGTCGGAATCTGTCAAGTATTCGTAATAAAACATTTACCTTTGTTTTACAACCACGAAAGATATTAAAACGTAACTTAAATGTGAAAACTCATAGCTCATTCCAATGAAAAATATATATTCGTTTGAAAATATATTAGTCTAGAGTTAGTTTATGCAATATACTATGAGAGATATGTGATTACTGGCGGGAGTTTAATAGTGATATTAAATTCGATGGATTCATTAAGCACCTAATTAGCCGCATTAAGTCGGATTACTCAATGTTACGCCCATTTTAAGGGTATTAGTCCGTCAAATTCAAACAGGTCATTCAGTGTTTATAGTTTGTATAAATTAAATAGCAAAATGCAATATAGATTAAGTCTAAAACATATATGATATTATCTATAGCATGAGGTTAATTTGTTTATTATATAAAAAACTTTTCACTTGATTTTAATTCGCTTAATTGTTATGATTCTAATTAGACATTTTCCGCTTACCTTATAAATTTATAAAACGAAGATGAAAATCAAAATTTAATTAGATTATGACGTTGTTTGAAAGTTATTACAAATGGGATAAGATACGAGGTAAGTAAATAATTCACAGTGAAGTTTATGTAATCTAAAGTAATTTCATAAAGCAACTTCCATTACACGAGATATATGGAAAAGAATCGACATTTCAAAATATTGCATAAATATTTTACCTGAATATCGGTTATCCAATCACTTTTTATAACCCAACTATAGTCAATGCGGTATCCTACACTATAATGTATAACTTTATTTTATATATATAAATGTTAATAAAATGATCTAGAAAATCCTTCTAGAAAATTAGCACAAAATTTAAATATTAGAGCACATACAGTTCAATTAGCATTAAGATCGGCATGTAAATGAGGAAAAAAATGAAGAAAATTTCTTTAAAATTCACCTTTTTATCAACGGAATATTAAAGCGGTATTCCGCAATCTTATATTTTACATTTAAATTTTTAGATGCAAAAGGTATCCAGTTAGCACGTTGGGATTTGAATAACAAAGTCACCGTCTTTTCGTCTCAGTTGACGTCATAGCTTCTGTACGAAATATGGTAAACTTGATGTTAACAAATGAAATGTGCTTGCCAAACTCGCTTTCTTAGTTGATTAAAGTGATTGTGGCTTTCAAGATTAATTTAGTTGTAATTAATAGTTGATTAGACTCTGTGTGTACATGTGTATTGTTCACTGAACTCATACATCAATGATTGAATTGTAACATCAATCGTAACCTTCAACTGTTACGAAATAATGCCAATCATTGTGTTAAATGCTTACAATTAATTCAATATATCCTGAAAAGGAGGTGACAAATATAAGGTTTATTCAAAAATACAATAGAGTTACTAAAAAATATATACATATATCATTTAAATTAGAGTAAACATACACAGGAGCGATCGTACAGAGGATTTGTGAAATGGTCCAAGCTAAAACTAAGATTTAGAATCTAGATTTTGGCACAAAACCAGAACAAGTTATCAGGGCGGAGTGATTCCATTTTAAATTTCATACGTTTGTATTCAGCAATTTATTATTAATTCGTTTGTTGTTTAAATATGTTTTTTTTTAATATAAAACTAACATAAAGTAATGTTTTTATAATAACATTCTTAGATTGTTTAAATTTTTCAGTCTAGTTGAAATCAAATAGATACCGTTGTCCACTATTATGATCGTACAAAATATATGAGAATGTATCATACAGTCTCAATGTATTACGATTGCCTTTTGTTAGATAAGTGTGACATCTGTAAGACCAAAATTTCCTTGTACCTTCCCGAATAAAAAAATATATATGGTATTTAAAAGCAAACAATGTGTATGTACACATAATAAAATTTATGACTTCTCAGAAACAGATATTTTACTATCACAGGAATTTAAAAATTCTCTATTCGTAATAAATAGATTCTAATTATTATTTTTAATAATCGAAAATCTACGTAGTCATATACATTTTTTTATAGATCTATGTTGCAGTCCTTGGTTATATATTTTCCTACAGTAGGTAAGCGCGTTGCGTGGTCTAATACCCACTTTATTCGGAATGTTTTCTTTTTCTTCACAAATCCGCTTGTTGAATTGGGATAAAATAAGATATAATGGATGCTCGATCTCCCCTTGCGTATTATTCGTACCAGCCGATAGAGTCGTGGGACCTTTTGTTATTGTATCTATGATTGAATTTTAAATCGAACCTATTATTAACAGAAAAGAACGTATATCAAAGATGATTATGTTTTTGATACAAGCTTAAAAAGGCCCACACCAACAACAATTCTTTATCCTATTATGGTACCTTCTTAAATTTCTATTGCGATTCACCAAACACAGTGGGCAAACAAAATCTAGTTGTAATATCTCCTTAAAGATGATTTTCTATATGACGATAATATTGTAAATGAGCATTAGTATTTATTGAATTCGCGAACTAAATTAAAACAATTTCTGATTTGGTTAATTAGTTAAATTAGCATTAATATTTTTCGGGATATTTTTTTATTTTATCCATGAATTAATGCAGTGAGTTTTAAAACCGTAATAACCTTTTATTGATATATTTTGGAAAACATCTAAGACAAAGGAGACAAAACATCTATCGGTACTTTAAACACAGAATAAATTCTATTCTATAACAAGATTTTGGATGATAAACAGCCTTATATAAATCGTTTCCACTCCAATTAAGATTTTGAAGCGAGGGCGACAGAATCAAGAGAATATCGCAACATTTTGCGCCGGATTTCTCCAAAAATGAAAAAAAAAACGGTCCTAGTTGGCTCCAACGAACTGGCAATGTCAATACACTCTGAAGCAAAGTTAACGAGCGAGCGCACCGAGACTTATAGCAAATATTTCGACTTAAAGAGAATTGAAAAATGTACTGTTATAATAAGATGTGAGGCGCCGCTTGAATCGGGACGTCGAATTGTGAACATCGAGGTTATTCAAACTGATATACAGAAAGAAATCATTTTCCATATAAAAATATTTGTTTCATATTCTATAGTTAGTGCATTATATAGATATACCTATGTTTTCTTCTTCAGTTTTTATTATTGAACAATATAATTCTTGGAAAACTAAAAATAAATATTCCCACAAAGTAAAAATCTTTCTTTAACAAATGACAAAATAAAGTTAGTTCCGGTAATATATATGTATTTAAGTACGTTCTCATTTTTGGGTATACCGAAAGTAATTGCGAGTGACAATAGACGTTTATTTAAAACTTTAATTGATATAATTATATAAGCCACAGATCACGAAGAAACCTAAACGAATTTACTCAAACTTAATCCTAGTACTTTGTTAAAGTACAGACAATTTCCATAATTACCCGGAGTCTACACCTTTGGATCCCTTAAGGGGATTATAACAAATCTTCACACATGCGGGTACTTGGAGGTAAATACTTTGACCTTTCTAACGGCACGTTCGTATGTTTACCGATTTAGTTTAAGAAATCCAACTTCGTTGTAATATAATGTGATCATCTAATTGCTTTCGGTTAAGATGTATTTTATTATTATATACCATGTACAAACATATGAAATTATTCACAATATATCTTTATGAAAATATAGTTATCGATACGCAACAAATTATAAGACCGAAAAAGAAAAGTTATGTGAAACAGTCTCCGCGAAAATAAAATATATAAACGATATTATTTGTCCGCAGAGCTGCCTCCTGAGAAGCCATCAATCAAAGCTGAGAAGGGATGGTATGCATCTGGGGACTCTCTGCGAGCCCAGTGCACATCACCACCCGCTGACCCCCCCGCCAACCTCACCTGGTTGTTGAATGGACGAGATGTAAGTACCCTGAACTAGTCTTCTACCCTTCTATCCTGAACATCCCAAAGGGTAAAGTTTAAATTCGACTTCGCTTTATGAATAGAACTTTACTTGGTCGAGAGACGATTTCATGAAACGGTGAAATACAATTCACCGTAACATTGTGATTGAAGTTTAAGTGCACTGAAATATATTATGCGATCAAAATAATAGGTATATAAGTTTTCTTGTATACAAAGAGAGACGTTCATATATTTAGATAAAATTACAACAACTACTTGAACAGTAAATAATAATTTAATAAATATCCTTCGTAACAAAACTTTGACTATCTTTATTTGTAATTTTAAAAATATTTAACCTTCAAACTAATAAAACTTAGTTTAAAGTTTGTCTAACGCTAGAAAATAATTACCAATTAGCTCTGTGGCTGACGTGCGACGTGACGCCGTGACATTCCGTGATAAATGAACCTCTTTCATCGGGGAGTTTCCGTTCATCATTGGTACATTAAATAAAAAGTGTTACATTAATTATAAAAAAACTGCTACAGAAGAAACTTTTTTTTCAGATTCTAAAAGTTTCAAAGGAATTATTTTCATGCTAACTCGTGTCAACGGAAACAATTTTAAAAACTTTTATAAAATTTTTACTGAAAGCCTGTTGTTTAGCTAAATCTGTTTAAATTTTCGTTCTAAAACCGTAGTCTTTGTATGTAAGGTTTACTTGAATATTTTCTAAAAGTATTATCCTATATGAAACAGTTACAAGAAACACATACTATAATAACAGTTTTTTTTAGACTTGTCACGTTTCCTTTTATTTTGTTTGGTAAAAAGTTTTGTTTTGATATACAGATTGTCTTATTTCAATACGTATATATGTATGTGCTATATTATATATGTAAAATGTTATTTTTAAATTATGTTTTAAGAAACTACATATTCATTTGAAAACTGTTAACATTACTCTTAATTTTAAAGTTAAATTTGTTACTTTGTTCTATTTAATTTCAAAGACTTCTTAAAGGTATTTTTTGCAACAATTGAAATTAACGTTTATTAAAGTCAAATTAACATTATCTAAATCAGTGAAAATTTTTGATCGATAATTACTATCGTATTGAGATAAACATACATACATACTAACACAGAAATTAATAAGTTAAAAATAGTATATTCACTTTTAGAAAGTACGCATTAATAGTAAACTACGTAATGCTTTCTATTTAATTAAAATCTTCAAAAGAAAAAAGTATGAGAAATTTATTTATGTACATCATAAAGATTTTTTTTAGTTTTAAGATAAAGTTTATAACAGATTTATATTTTATCTATTATTCAATTAATACTGTACAAAATAAAGTAAAAATAAAAAATAATGTAAAAAGATATAAAATTGTAAAGTCAATTTTAACAATAATTATGTCTATCTATATACTGTATATAAAAGAAATTCGTGTTTGTTACACTATTTATAACTCAAGAACGGCTGTACGGATTTGGCTTGAAATTTTGTGGGGAGGAAGGTTATAATCAGGAGACGGACATAGTATGCTTTTGAATTCGCTGACCAAAAAATATTTGCTTACATAATTGAAAATCTGTGTATTTACTGCCTTTAAATCCAAACAGTTCGCCTGGTCACAATCATATATATATATATATATATATATATATATATATGACAAAGTTGCGGACAAAAGCTTGTTACAAATGAAAGGAGACAATAAAAAAATGTTTCATGACACTTTTCAGACTATGTCTATGCGTACAAAGTGCTAGGTTATCAGAAATTAAAACTGTTATTTAAGCAACACTGTCATTGAAAGAACTCCGGGGAAGCTTATTTTTATTTCGTAGGTTGTAGTAATAAAGAAATTTTTAATAATAATTCTCAACGAATATGCGGCATTCATTTCCGACATATGAATCCACACGAAGCCGCAAAAGCTCTCTTAAATATGAATATTTAAATATTCCGTTAAATAATTATAATATAATATTAAAATATATTTTTACTTTATACCTCTGACTTTTATACGTATAAATTTGAAATGTTTGTTGAGTATTATTAGTAATTGTGTGGACTGAGAATAGAAATTATAAACTAAACTAGAATAATAAATAATAATTTATATGAATAGTTATTTTAAAATACTGCTACTTTAAATGCTATCCCTATTTTTTATAGTTTTTAATTGAGATTCCGTTCCTCTCTATAGTTAAATTGTAAATAACCTTCCTTGTTACACATAATATGTAGAATGATTGTCTTCAACCAAATCTCGGAATTAGTTCCTGTGACTCTTTAGCTTTCTTGTAGAAATATTTACTATACCAATCTGAATTCACACATAGTTAAAAAAACATATAAATAATTATATATAAAAAATTGAATTAAGTTAAAAAATAAATTATTGAAAATATAAATGTCAATTATAATATACTTTACCAATCATCAGTTCATTTTCACTTTAAATAAAATTGTACCACCAACGTAAACATTTGAACATTTACATTTGAAACCATAAACGACTGAGGTGTGAAAATTTTATTCGCAAAATAACAAAACATCAATTGTGTTTTGGTCGTAATAAATAATATGGTAGTGTTTCCAATTTTGAATGTACAGCTCCAACCCTCAATTCCTTTTAAGTAAATTCGATTGCGTCAAACGTTCCCGCTGTAAAAATTGTGTTATCGTCGGATTTATGCTGAATCAACTGTTTTTTATGATTCTTTTATATTTAAGACTGAAACTTAGCAGTAACCAAGACTTTTATTATCAGTATTAGTTAAATAAAATTAAAGATTCCTTGCTGACTGTGAACACTCAATATATTAGTATAGAACTTTGTAAAGTTCTAATGTCATATTGAGGAATACATTATATAAAACACATAATATTTAGATTTTTTTGTTTTAGTCTTAGATTATGATTGTATATTTAATATTTACAATTATTTTACTTGAATTAAGTATATTAAGCGTTACAAAAGGAGCATTCACTATTTTTAAACTATTACGAGAGTCTATCTGACTGCACGATTCGTGTTCAACAAATTCGATTGAGTCGAACAAATATGGAGCACATCTTTCTGTGAAAATTGTATTGTATTGCAAGATTTACTACACTTGGAGGGTGTTATAGAGTAGGGTGGACATAGTTCATTGGATAGCCTGTGAAGTCATATACATATATAATCGTACAGTATACTTTTAAACATACATGTTCAATACTTTCTTGCAAACAATTTTATGCATAATTGTTACTTTTTGCATTACTTTGACTCAAAAAACTATGATATTTTATTTTTTCTCATACCTTCAAAAACAGTGACACTATTGTAATTTATCAAGATCATTAAATATTATTAAAGAGGACGATAAAAGTAATATACAAGGACAGTATTTTTTTAGGTTTTGCGCAGGGAAATTTATTCCACAGTTGACTAATTAATACGGACATAATGAAATAAATGTTCTACTCAGAGCGCTCCGCCAAAAAAGGAATTTTGATTACCTGTTCCCGTTTTTCATTCGCAGTTTCGTTTTAGATAATATTATAATAAAAACTAATTAAAATAATTTTATTATAAATCAAGGCTGTCTGTTTAAAGATAAATAAAATCTTTTTGCAATACCTCCCAGTTAGTCATTGATATTTCTTGCTCAAGATTAACAACACTTTATTATGTAGAAAGTTGTATGCAACTTTTATATGACTTTGAAACAGTGAAGGTGTCAAGAGGCCAGCCCCCATAACGACATTCTATGTATTTCTTAGGGGCTATAGAAAGTGGTATTTTTTTTTCTTTTCAATAATCAGGATATTTATAACTCGTTTATTAATGTTTGTGTGTATGAATCTCTGTAAGATTGTTACTCTTAAAAGGATAGACCAATTTCGATGGGGTTTTTGTTGTTTGAAACATAGCTTCCATTTGATGGATTTTAACTTCATTTGATTAATAACAATCTTGCAGTGTAAGAGTGTCAGCTCTTTTCCAAAACGATGTAAGGTTTATATTATTTGATTAAATACTTTGATTGCAAGTGCATTTTTTTAATAACTATTTTTTCGTATATATTATTGAAATTAAAGAAAATTGTGTATTTAAATTAAACATCCTAGTACTTGAAATTTATGTGAAAACGAAGACGCGAACAAGGCAATGATAATAAGAAATAAATAAAGAGTTATTTGCTTATTTGAAGTATTCTTGTAAAATAATTAAAGCCCAATTGAACCTTTAATAAGCAGAATAAAACATAAACCGTGTATACGATCAAATTATACTTTCTAGTTGGAAATCTACATATGTCTCCATACATTATCATAATGTGATCGCTAATAGCTGACCAGCGGCAATATGTTTTGAAAAGCACAACGGTAATCATTTTATGATATCAGTACAAATTTAATGGTTTTAGATTGCTTTTTGTCAAATTTCCTGATTCTAGGTCAACGGAAAGGCCCCAATACGTTTTAATTCCACCGTGAGCTTCAAAATATGCAAAACGGATCATACGGCCTTAGCTGCAGATTTTACCGTTCCGAAGGCCATCTTAATATTTAACGATAAATTCAACTTCATACCTGAATATATACCAGAGGGAAAGGGGTTTCACAGACGAAATCAACAAGGTGATAGAAAAAGGTTTCTTTTTTGGATGATATGGTACAAAATTCCGAATGGAATTAAAGTCAACGAAGTCGTTTATAAGACATTTGTTCATAAAAATTATGTCAGTACAAAAATGTATTTCAAATAATTATATAAAATCTTTTGGACAGATCTCATTACCAATTCACACAAATGTGATCGAAAGACGAAAAAAAATACGAACGAATTGAGATGGTCCTCATTTTTTGTTAAAACTAAAGACGCTTAAAAATTAATATAAAAACCTGTGGTGAAATAAAAAGGAACAATTCATTTTTGTTTTCAATCAGACAAAGTAAGGATTAAAAGATTAAAAATCAAGCACGTATTTCTTAAAATATAACTAAGA